TTTGAGTCTGATAATCAGTCATCCATCACTTTATTACCTTTGTCTCCTAAAAGACTAGTGTTTAACTTTTTATGCTAAAAGAATTGTTTGCTAAACGATCGGTCCCCGTAGGTCATATATCCTTAGAAAGAGTTCGTTTTCTCTTTTGGATCAATCATTCTCCCAACCAAGGAAGCTCATAGATTTCGCCCGATGCTGAATTTCTCAATGATAACACTACGCTCATATACACTGCTGATTTAAATTAACCGGACAAAACGAGCTAAACTTGAAATTTAAAACGCGTTTGTCTCAAACTGTGTCGAGTTTAAATGAAAACTTATGAAGATCAAAATTGCTTAAACTTTTAGCAGAATTAAAAAGGTGTAATTGGTTTCGTAAAACTCGGGCCGAAAATTTTACCACAAAACTTGGTCATTTTGGCTTTTCTTAGTCAATCAAAAAGTACGCCAAAAATACCCAGTCGATCACAGGCATAATTATATCAACATAATTATATTGCAAACCTTTTAAAAATTGTTTTTAAATAAAAAGTTGAATTTTTATAAAAAGTTGATATTATATATTGAAAAAAAACGAACTTTTTTGTCTATCAAACAAAAATAAATCAACTTATACAATGTTTTGGAGAATATACCCTGCTTAAAATTTGTTGGGCTACGTTAGGGGCTTACTTTAAGCTGATTATGTCTGTGATCGACTGGGTATTTTTGGCGTAATTTTTGATTAACTAAGAAAAACCAAAATGACCCATTTTTGTGGTAAAAATTTGATCCCGAATTTCGCAAAACAAAATACACCATATTAATTCTGCTAAAAGTTTGAGCTAGTTTTGTCTTCATAAGTTTCCACCTAAACTCAACCCATTTGAGGAAAACGCGTTTTAAATTTCAAGTTTAACGCGTTGTGTCCAGTTAATTTAAATCAGCACTGTATCACGTCAAAAATATGATTGAAACACAACGCTTGGCCAGCTATGCTATGGTTTTGTAATAACAGCCAGATCGATAGACAAGGTTGGAACTCAAGTAGACATAAAGAGAGTAGAACCCAGCCTCATACTGCAACGGAGAACTCATATACTGTTCGGTGAATTGAACGTCGGAATCCCTCATACGCGAAGGACCGAATGCGCGAAAGAAAAAGCCAATCAGATTTCAGTAAACTAAAATTTGGAAAGAAAGTAAACATTTCCAGGGACTGAGTATCAATATTGGCCGAATATAAAAACGGCAGAAATATGCAAAATTTTCAAATTTTCACTGACCGGCGCCGAATTGGAACAACATTTATATTTGAAGGGTTCAGTTATCAAAGAAGCAAAATGTTGCTTCATTTAATTCATTTTATTTGAACGGCAATTGCTTCTTTTCAAAAAATTGACTTTCGGCTTATTTTGTTTTCGGTCCTTCGCTCAAGATTTTTTTCGCCCATTCAGTTCTTCGCGCATGAGAATAGCCCCCGAATCGAACTCATGGTTACGTAGCAGTATTTAGACAACCGCGTATTCAGACTTGTCAGTATATACACAAATACCGTATAAACCAATCAGAATCGAGACAAGGAAGAAATGAATTACTAATATTTATTTATTTAGTAAATTTGTTTTCTCATCTCGATTCTGATTGTTCAATACAGTATTTGCCTGTTTGGTTATTACAGTAATTGTCTGCGGGTGCCCGATATCAAGCCGACGGGCTTCAAGCCGAAACGTTAAGTTAGAGACTTCAAGACGAAAATTTTCTCCTTAAGTCATGATAATTGAATTATTTGAAAACTAGGAATTTCCCATTTTCATGATCTTTCTTCAGTAGTTACAGGCAATTTCGTAAAACTATCCTCCGAATGCGATGTTTAGGAAAGTTCAAAAAAAAAACAATTCACGGCAATTTTCTTCTTGTTTTAATTTAAGCATTTCAAAACCGGCTGATTTGACGAACGGATGCCAATCCTAAATGATTCATTGTCAAGAATAACGCTTATTATAGACTAAACATGCCTAAATTTTTGAAAACATATTGTTTTTGATGGAAAAATAGCGATTTGAGGTGCTTGTAAAGTTTCAATTTACGCCTGAAGTCCCTTCGGCTTGAAGTCACATCGATTTGTTGTCCTAGACCCCCAATTACGCGTATAAAACAATTCAGTTTGTAAATTGTTCACCTTCCTGTTAGAATTGAGATAGCGCAAACTAACTTCAGCGATCAAAGAGAGAAAGCGTCCAAAGTGGCCAAATTCACAAAAAAGTTACAAACTGTAACCAATAGTAACTAGTCCTTTAAAATTAACCAGTTGGCACTTGTAGGTCATGGTGCTAGGGCTTTCAGCAGACAGGTTTGTTAACAGACACAGAATAATTATAAATTATGACAGCTAACTTCAAACGCGAGATTGGCGATAAGCCACCGCTTGTTCCGCTGCGCTTCAATTCAACACGGGGAGGGTTCTCAAGCTTAAAGGACCGATTGCTTGAAAGATCTCATTTAATCAAAATCGCTAGACGTTTCTATTGGCTAAATGCCTTTCTCACAAAACCGAAGTCAGTATTAACCGAAAATGTACTAAATCAGTGGACAATAATCAAAAATATTACAAACTGCGGGTTACAACCGCATAACGGTTCAGATAATCATCAAGATTATTGAGTTCAAAACCAAAATTACATTTTCAGACTTGAAAACTGATCTGCTTATTGTCTATTTGTCAATATTAACTTTAATGACCTAGATTTATTTTCTTTCTATGACATTTTCGCGATGTACTTTGAGATTTTGAATACTCAATTCTGATTGGCTGAAAGTAAGCAAAAACAAATTTTCGGTCCTTTAAGCATGAGGGACGCCGCCGTTCAACACGAGTGTTATTGTGCGCATAAACCTTTGTTTTGCCGCTAAATTAGAATCTTGTGTTATTTGAAGTTGATAGTTTTGATGTTAAATCGCGAGATAATTGTCTTAATTGGGGAAGCTTGGCCCCAGACTGAGCGTCTTTTTGAGTCTGGTAATCAGTCATCCATCACTTTATTACCTTTGTCTCCTAAAAGACTAGTGTTTAACTTTTTATGCTAAAAGAATTGTTTGCTAAACGATCGGTCCCCGTAGGTCATATATCCTTAGAAAGAGTTCGTTTTCTCTTTTGGATCAATCATTCTCCCAACCAAGGAAGCTCATAGATTTCGCCCGATGCTGAATTTCTCAATGATAACACTACGCTCATATACACTGCTGATTTAAATTAACCGGACAAAACGAGCTAAACTTGAAATTTAAAACGCGTTTGTCTCAAACTGTGTCGAGTTTAAATGAAAACTTATGAAGATAAAAATTGCTTAAACTTTTAGCAGAATTAAAAAGGTGTAATTGGTTTCGTAAAACTCGGGCCAAAAATTTTACCACAAAACTTGGTCATTTTGGCTTTTCTTAGTCAATCAAAAAGTACGCCAAAAATACCCAGTCAATCACAGGCATAATTATATCAACATAATTATATTGCAAACCTTTTAAAAATTGTTTTTAAATAAAAAGTTGAATTTTTATAAAAAGTTGATATTATATATTGAAAAAAAACGAACTTTTTTGTCTATCAAACAAAAATAAATCAACTTATACAATGTTTTGGAGAATATACCCTGCTTAAAATTTGTTGGGCTACGTTAGGGGCTTACTTTAAGCTGATTATGTCTGTGATCGACTGGGTATTTTTGGCGTAATTTTTGATTAACTAAGAAAAACCAAAATGACCCATTTTTGTGGTAAAAATTTGATCCCGAATTTCGCAAAACAAAATACACCATATTAATTCTGCTAAAAGTTTAAGCTAGTTTTGTCTTCATAAGTTTCCACCTAAACTCAACCCATTTGAGGAAAACGCGTTTTAAATTTCAAGTTTAACGCGTTGTGTCCAGTTAATTTAAATCAGCACTGTATCACGTCAAAAAATATGATTGAAACACAACGCTTGGCCAGCTATGCTATGGTTTTGCAATAACAGCCAGATCGATAGACAAGGTTGGAACTCAAGTAGACATAAAGAGAGTAGAACCCAGCCTCATACTGCAACGGAGAACTCATATACTGTTCGGTGAATTGAACGTCGGAATCCCTCATACGCGAAGGACCGAATGCGCGAAAGAAAAAGCCAATCAGATTTCAGTAAACTAAAATTTGGAAAGAAAGTAAGCATTTCCAGGGACTGAGTATCAATATTGGCCGAATATAAAAACGGCAGAAATATGCAAAATTTTCAAATTTTCACTGACCGGCGCCGAATTGGAACAACATTTATATTTGAAGGGTTCAGTTATCAAAGAAGCAAAATGTTGCTTCATTTAATTCATTTTATTTGAACGGCAATTGCTTCTTTTCAAAAAATTGACTTTCGGCTTATTTTGTTTTCGGTCCTTCGCTCAAGATTTTTTTCGCCCATTCAGTTCTTCGCGCATGTGAATAGCCCCCGAATGGAACTCATGGTTACGTAGCAGTATTTAGACAACCGCGTATTCAGACTCGTCAGTAAATAGACAAACACTGTATTAACCAATCAGAATCGAGACAAGGAAGAAATGAATAACTAATAATTAATTATTTCGTAAATTTGTTTTCTCATCTCGATTCTGATTGGTTAATACAGTATTTGTCTGCTTACTGACGAGTATGAATACGCGGTTGCCTAAATGCAGACCGCACTCCGGAACTCATGATAGGCAGAAACCAGCACAACTTATTCAACGGTAATTAATACCGCAAACTTGATGCCACTTTAACTTATTTCCGTCTTTTTCCTACTCATAATTTACTTCATATGCCATAATTCTGCATTATACAGTTTCGTCTTAGAGATTTGAAAACCAAAAATGCAGGATATCCTTTATCTGTTGAAATTTTAAATCTGCCTTGTTCAAAAATGAAACCCGCATATAAATAATTTACAACTTTGATTGAGACTAATTGAAGAAAATTAAGAATGTAGGTTAAGATATGAAGAACCACATAGCTGCTCACTTTCCGAGTAGTTTGGACACGAGGTATTTGTCGGCCACATCCGAATGCACACTGCTAGAGGTCGACTTCGCAGACACAAACATGAACACTAAAGAGAACAGCTACAACTAATCTAGAACATCTTTTCATCGACCCACTAATGTTTTTGCAACTTACCTTTTATGGAGTTCGTAGCTAAGGAAATTTCATCATTGGACTGCAATACGCGGAACTTGTTTTTGCCTAAATACATAGAAGAATAAATCTTTTTGGCTGAAAAATCAAGAGATTCGTTTGTACATTCTTTAAAACTTCGGACTAGCCGTTTTTAGGTGTGACAGATACTGAAATATTTGAGCATAAAAGTGTGACAGATAACTTACCGACTTTATTGCCATTGACAAGAGTTCCATTAGAACTGATATCTTGAAGAACTACATCGAAGTCATCCACATCTGCACTGCAAAGTTGCTAAAAAGAACTGAAAATATAACTGTTCGAAAAGGAACATCCTATGATCCTAAAAACCTTTAATATTTAACAACTTTTCTGGAAAATAAATTAAATCTAAGCCAGAAACTTCCCCATTTCGATTTAACACAACCTACATTGCCACAAGTAAATCCCTTTCAGCGTATAGGTTCAAGAAGATAGCCAACAAGACAGGACAGCTGGTGAAGTGTCAATGGACTCTTTTTTTGCAAAACTGAACTTTATATCACCTTCACGCTCTTTAAATAGAAACGTACGGATGTTTATTTTCAAAAAAGTATAAAAATGTCAAAAATTGGACATTTAACAAGGATATATCTGATTTTTATCATGTGCACAGAAAACACGCTTTTGCAGAGGAGATTAAGACATCTCCGTTTCACGAATTTCCAAATTTTAGAATTAGCATGATCGTTTTTGCGAAATAGAACAAAGTCTAAAATTGGATCTTAAGGTCAAATATTTCGTAAGTTCATAGCGGAATCCTTACCAGTATTGGAAAAACAAATGCTTGTTCATTCGATTGAAGCCTTAATCTCCAATTCCGCGCAGTAGTTTTCTGCGAGGAAATCAATAAACTTCCAAAAACGCACAGAAACTCAAAAAATTGAGCTTTGCTAAATCCGAAAATCCACAAAACTTGTGCGTAGTTGCAATGCAGACAAAACACCTACCCCGGTTTTTCCGACTGAACCCTATGCCTCAAGTTTTTGACAAAAGTTTTTGACGAAATTTGGATATCACCTGAGGCCATAACTCGTTTTCTACAAAAATTCGTTCGGGAATAGCAGCTAATACAAGTGAGACTTCACAATGTTTTTTCGATTGAATGAACCCTTAATCTGAGATTTGACATGCTAGTGTCCGAAAAAATAAAAATAATTCAAAAACTGGGCCGAAAATTCTCCCGTCTGAAAATGTCGAGTAAAGTGAAAAGAGACAGGCGGAAATTGCAGGCACACAAAAAGTAGCCGATCTTTCCATTCAAACAACTTTTTTGAAAATCGGTAAAACGATAAAAGCAAAAATGTTCCAACGCGTCTAAAAACCATCCATTTTTATGAAACCTATTTCTATCAAATAAGAGCTATCCACTTATAAACCAGATACAAAAAGAAGCAAAAGTTCACCAAAAATGATGCTGCAAACGTGCCACCAAATTAATGACCCCTTATATTTGCGACTTAGGCTGGGGAAAAAGTGCAAACCTAATGACAATACGCTCCGAATGTGTAAAAATAAATGGAGAGAGGTTAGATTAAAGAGCTGTAACTATAGCTAGGTGTTTACCTTGTGGATGATGAAGTGTTTCTTAGAAATGACTGCAAGCGATGCACTGGAAAAGGCGTCAGCTGGGAGAATGCAGTCACAATCTTCACCCTTTCCAAATGAGTACTTCTCAACAGGCTCTAACAGAACTGAAACGAAACACACTTCAGAACATACGTCTTTTCAATTAACAACAAGCAACTCCGCGCAAAGTTCAAAATATAGCAAACAGGCAGTTGGAAAAAGTCAATGAAGGCAATTAAACTGAAAAAAAATAATGACTTGTTTTTTTTTAAACTTCAACTTTGGGAATTCAAAATAAAAATTAGATGGCCTTACAACGTGTTTGAAAAACTATGTATGATTACCACTTTTTTGATAACAATAACTCAATTTGAAAAAAAAACTGGATCATTAGGTAAAGTTTTAAAGTTTTTCTTCCGCTGGGAAATCTAAAAATTAAATTCCTCTTTCGAAACTAGAAGTCGATCACGTTTTTCATGACCTATACCCTTTCGCTAATAGATAGTGGAATTTGCCTTCCTTTTAACAATGAATTGAACTTGAAAAGCAATCAAAAGTCAAAACAAGGAAAAATAAATTTGAGCCTGACCAAATGTTAAGACTTTTCCTGAAAAAAATCATCTCGACCTAAACAGCTGCGTTCATCGACTCTTAAAAAGCTTTGAACTTGAACAAGGATAGAAGAATCGTTTTTAATCTTGTTTTTCGCCAATCTTGCTGCTGTTTTTCGTTCAATTAGGGCAATTGACGTAGTTCAAAAAATGGAAAAATAAGATAATAGTAGCAAAAATGATTCGAATAATCGCATTAGAATTGAATCGAGATCTATGTTTCATTTGTATATTTCGTCCTATTCAACATGAAATATGGAAACTTTCACACCAGTTTTTCTCGAATATATTTTTTGAAATTTATTGTGAAAACCCAATCAAGGCTGAAAAGGCTCTTAGATGATACTATACTTGACTACCTACGGATTGGTATTGAAGTAGTCGCAATCGGGCAGTAGAAAAATTACCACCTAATCAATAGTTCTTTCTCATCCCTTTAGAAGGTGGTTGAAACAAAAAAAACTAGCATCATTTGGAAGAAATTATACACAAGAAAATGTTTGATAAAAATTTATGGAATTATCGTTTTGCATTGCTCAAAACTGTGGTAGCAGATGTCACTGTGCATTGAAGCAAAATTTGTCAGCCGACTTTTAGTCAAAACTGCTCATAGGAATCAAAGACCAAATTTGGGTTTTACGTTGTAAACCTTTTGAAGTCATGGCCAAAGTCATTTGATCTGATCCCAACCTTCATTTGAATCCTAACAAACAACTTGCAAAAACGAAAAAACAACTAAAATAATCAGATCACTTCATTTTAAAAAAAAGATCGAATTAAAAGCAAAATTAAATGCGGAAAAACTCGGTCGAGGCTTTTTTTCCTGCGTTTAAAATCAAAATAATGATAATTGATTCAATTGTTACAATTTTTTTTCTGAAGACAGAACAAAAGTTTGAAACTGTAAAACTTCAACTGGTTGGGTAGACGTTCATTTTTTGTTTCTCTGATTGAGTAATTTGGACAGTTAGAAGACTAGCTCCTGCTATTTTTATTAGGAATAAAAAAACGATTTAGCGTTCGCTGAATTCCAGAAACTTGGATGAATTTGTAGATATCTCGGTATTCAAATCAATTTACTCAGGCAGAGAGAAAAATGAATTACAATAAACACGCCGGTAGAGATTGAACAGTTCCAAAAATGTATTATATTCCACTCAGACAACATTCGCCCGGAAAGTACAAAACGACGGGAAAAAAACATAATTCTATAACGATTGGGTAGCATCAAAAATAGCTCTTATGTATTTTCAAGCGCTGAACGAAGTTAAGTAGTTACATGCAAAGTTGTGAACGCAAGGCTTCCATATACCAAAAGGTGATTCCTAAAAATGGGGCTAAGACCTCTCTTTTTATAAGTTTTTATTAAGTAGAAAAATTCCACATCCATTGGAGATAGAACTTTTCCCAATTCCTAGCTCCTCATAACCTGAAAAATAACTCAAGACGATGAATAAAATTCAGGACAAAAAGCTAAAAGTAAAACAGTTTAAAATACAGTCCAACTGTGAGCTATTCCAGACATGGGATCTCCATCAAAAAGGCAGCCTCTTCACCGCTGGGAAAAGTTATCACAAAATATCTCCGACTACCCGTTGGGTAGCACAAAAAAATAGCCCCTGCTATTTTTTTCGTCCGAAATAAGAGAACGGTAAAACATTAGCTAAAAATCTGCAAACTTGCATGATTTGTGGATAGCTAGGGATTCAAATCAAATCACTGAGGTAGAGAGGAAAAGAGTTCAGCACAACCCCACAGGTTGCAATTGAACAATTTAAAAATTGCATTTTTATCCATTAAAACAACATTTGTCCGGAAAGTATAGAACGACTGGAAATTAAACCTTATCCAATGTAGATAGTTTAGAGTCAAAATGATCTTTTATACATTTTGAACCGTCTCTTTCTAAGCCATTCAATGTGTTCCTTCGTGAATCGGGTCAACGTTACTATTTGAAGAGTAGTGGCCGAACGATTGAAGTTAACTAGTTTCATGCAAAAATGAAGAACGCATGGCTGGATCACAGCATCCACATACCATAAGGCCGCTCCTAAAAAAAGGGCTGATACCTCATTCTTTTGTTGTTTTTGTTTAGTAGAGAAATTCTATGTTTATTGGAGCTGGATCAACTCTTCCCTAATTCCTAGCTCCTCAAATCCTGAAAGATAACTAAGGATGTTAAATTAAATTCAGGACAGAGAGCTACCAGTCAATATACAGTCCTCAATACAGTCTAACGGTAAGTCATTCCAGATCTGAGATCTCCGTCAAAGTAGCAGCTTCTTCACCAACGGAAAAAGTTATCACAAAATATATCAACCTTCCCGATGTGGAGCACAATTCAAGTAACAATTGTATTTGCATTATTTCCCTTTAGATTCCCGTAATTCCTTCGATCACTAGTTCTCCACTAAATCTCTGTCGTTTTTCCGCTCAATCTTCTGTGTTTTCAGGAAAGATTGGGTTTATCAGTTGGCGCGAAAGTGAACTGTTCCTTAGCCTTTACTTTTTATCTATTCCGTCATTTAATGTCCTTAAACATCTTTCCGGACAAACTGCATGTTCCCAAACACCAATCATTCCGCTCGAATGGCACGTAAGCCGAAATCATTTCGTTAAGATTTTGATATGAAACGAAGAAAAATAATCTCGAGTCAGTTTCGAACATCGCCTCGACCCTCTCTCGGCCACATAAAGAGGAAGAATTAAATTCTCGATGTTATTATTTTTTAAATCAGACGAATTAACTCTAAATACATCAATAACGAAGAGCGGACAGCTAACAAAATCATAAGGGTTGCCAAATGCTGCCCTGGTTTGAAATCAAATTAGATGTATCAGATAAGATTACTTAAATGCAACCGCTGAAGAAAAAGATCTTGCAAATGCCCTAAAAAAATACATAAAAATAGTATGGTGCACCATCTCAACAAGTTGTACATCTACTGAACAAAAGATGGTTCAATTTGAATGACATTAGCTTAACTGTAGTATAAAAAACGAAGTTACGATGTTTCAAAACGGATTCTTTTGCAGAAAATATTTGAAAACTCATTAGTCGTTGGCACCTTTAATCGGTTTCATTACAAAAAATTAAACTTGTTCACATAGCGATTACTGATTCAACTAACGATGTCTCCTCCCCTAAATCCCTTAGCATCAAAATCATTGAATGGTACCTTGAGAGTCAGTAGACACCTAACTGAGCCCATGCGGTAGTAACCAGTGAAGAAGTCCAAGTAGGAGCTTTCAAACGCCAAAAGCGATTTGAAAACCCACATCAAAATTGTAAAAAAACTTGGCAGCAGACTTACGCGTCTGATTTGTTCTATTTAAATAACAGTTGAGTTTAAATACAAATCATAAACAAAAAAATTGATCAGTTCTTCATTGATTAAAATGAATAGATCGCGCACTTGGTGAGCAATCTGTTAAACATTGGCTTGAGAAAACCAGCAAAACTTGTGGTAAGAAGCGAATTTTCTCGAAGTAAGTTATAAAGCTTTGTTCTCCAGTAACTAGGTGACACTCGTTGAACTTTGCTTTCCGACAAAGTGTTTTAATTAAACTAAAGTTGCCCTTCCAGTATTGTACAAAACCGCATATTTAAAGTTCATTTACATGGAGCTGGTGAACTGTTAGAAACTTTTTCATCCAGAAAAGCATTTCGTAGGCTTTCAAATTTTCTTTTTAAGTAAATTAACCGAAGTGTTTTTTTTTCGTATCATTAACAGGGGCAAAATATTTGTCTAAATAGTACAACCGTAAACTAGAAAACCGTATTGCAATTTGGTTTAATGTTAGACCTTTAGTATTTGATTAAAACAGTCTTATGAACATAATGACGTACTTTCGGAGGATGCCACATTGTTTTCTAAGCTTGGCTGGATCGAAATCAATACGAAAATTAATGGATATCTTGGTATCCAAATGAATATTAAGATATTTGCAAGATGAAGCACGTTTTATGGGCATGTTACTAATATGAAATTGATGATTGCAAACACTACACAAAGATAAACAAACTTAAATAGTTTTTTCCTAACTCAGGGACAATTTATTAATTATTAACATTTGCTGACAGCTTCTAAGTCTTTATTGAAGTTTTCGACGGAGCAGTTTAAACAAAGTATACTGATGTCGTCTGCAAACAAGAACGTTCACTTAAAAAGCAGACATTTGGAAGGTCGTTTATG